TTCTAGTTCTGACATTCTGTGTTTCTTGGTTCAAGGGCCAAATTGGCTTTGAATGCAGACACTTGGATCTGAGTGAAGGAGCCTTCACCCAGTGCCAACTACTGACAGATCAATTCTAGTAGATTCAACCAAGGAAGCGATTAGAAAGTTGGTGGTCCATTAGAAATGCCAGCTGAGGTGGCTGATCTACCAAGTTAATGAATTCTGGTTTTTGCAACAGTTACTCTGCCTGTCATTTGCAGTATTCCAGAATATAGGATGTGGTACAGTTAAATCTGCTTTAAAAAATGTCAACAGTGGATCTGATGCTGGTTAAATTGATGCACAATCTGTAGCTTTTACTTGAAGATCTCAAGGATAGGAGGAACCCCCATCTCCCAAGGCAGCTCCATTTGGGGATCATTCTACTTGTTAGGAAGGTTTTCCTTTCATCAAAAGTCTTAATTTGGCTCTTTGCAACTTTGACCCATCACTCTCTATTCTTCCCTCTGGGGTCAAGCAGTCAAATGCCTCTTCCACTCAGTAGACAACTCTTTGAATATCTGAAGGGCTCTCATGTGTCACTTCTTACTCCCAAGGGTTCTCTTCTCCAGTTCCTTCAATTCCTCTTCCAGGTCACCCACCATCCTGCTCAACCCTCTCTGAACATGGTCCAGATTAGCAGCTTCCTACTGAAGAAAGCTTGAGCAAAGCTCAAATTGGGTTTAGACCAATTGTTTCATTTTACAGGGGAAGAGACTAAAACTCATAGAAGGAATATGACTTCCCCAAGGTCATCAGACACTACCTAAAATCGAATGGGACCAACATCCATCTGGACCCTATTTTCATGACTACCCCCAACAACCTCATGCTCTCCAGAACTCCTCATAGTTCTGCCTCTCAGTTTTTCCTTTCCTCTAACTGTGGCTATTTTGTATGGCTCCCTGAAGGACAGGGAAGGAACAGTATATATCTGATTCTTCTTGACACAGGTCTGGGTACACTGGGGGAGGAGGACAGAAATGGGAATCAGTGAATCCCTGTGGATTGAGTGACCTATTCCATAATGTAACATTTTGTCTGACTTCCCCTCTTCTACTATTTCCTGCTGCCCCCTGTCTGGTCACAGCCCAGTGGCTGGGCTCAAATGTGGTTTGAAGGCTCTGCTCTGGCCAATAGCCCAGTTCTACTTTGATGGTCTAGCTCTGCCAAGAAAACCTGACTCTCTCCTGACTCCCTTGTTTTGCTTTGAAACCCTGGATCTTCCCCAGAGGAACAACTTTCCTCTAATGAGGCTTTGTCTCATGTACTGGAAAAGTCAGGGGTCTAGAACCCAGGTGATTCAGTAACCAGGAGGAAAAACAGAAGTTTCAGGATTGCCCAGTCTGGTCCTTGGCAGGTCCAACAGGAACTTTCTTCAGTTCAGACCCTAGAGCTGCCCTGGCTTGTGGTTTTTATCTTTCATGACACGGCTGGGCAGATTTGGAAAGCAAAGGGGCTGAAAGAACTTAGGGGACCTGCTGGTTTTGTTTTTTCTCTTGGTGATTCTGGAGCATCTTCTTGGCTCTGGTTATAGATTTATCCCCCCAATAAATGGTCCAGAATTGGGCTGTTGAAAGAAGCCGTGAATGGCCAAGAGGACTGGGGGGAAAACTGGCATTCTGGGTATGAGATTTAATTCCATTCAACCAACAATGATTATGCTATGGCTCAGATTTACAAATCTCCCACCAAGATCCAACCACCCAAAAACTAGAGAACCTAGACTTACTGATAACCCAAGCCCAGTTTCTAGCTGTTTTTCTCCCCCTTCCAACCCTATCACCACTGACTCTTCCCCTCCTATCTCCAGCTTTGGATTCACCAACTCAGACCAAAGCCAGTGGTATTGCCCATGACCTTGGAACACTTGAATTAGAGACCCAACCCAAGGCCCATCCCTGTCCCCACAGACCACAGGGCACATGACAAGAGTCCCAGTCAGGGTCAGAGAAGGAGAAGGTTGGGGCCTCCTCTGGGTACTGAAGATACATCTGCTGTCCAGTCCTGAGCCTCTGTGGGCAGAGAGGTGCTTCACAGGGAACATAAGTAAGAAATGAATTTGCTGAACCTACCTCAGAGCATCCATTTCTGCCCCGTCAAGTTGGGAAACATTAGGCACACAACTGCCCATAAAGACTAGAGCTGAGGCCAATAAAAACATCTATTTTCAGGTAGCATTTTACAGTAAGAGATGTGTTGAAAATATCACAGAAAGAGAGGGGTCAGTTTATACAGTCACAAACTGTCCTCTCAGCATCCTTCCACAGGGGGTACTTGAAGCATGCTTGCAGTTGGACCCTTGAACACATCATCTGGCCTGAGGGCATAGACAGTCCTACCCAAGGGTTGGCTGTGCAGCAGAAGGCAAGAAGTGTGTGGTGGGTTGGGGCTGAGTAGGCCTCTTCTGGGCCCAAGCCTCTCTAAGCCAGGCTACAGGTGTTTTGGAACGGTCCTCAAGGCCTCCTCCCTGGAGCGGTGAATGTCCACATTCTGCAAACACAGAGAAAGGACCATTAGGGCCCCATTGGACTGTTCCTTTGCTTCCCCCTACTCTTCCAGCCACCTCCATCGTCTATGGCTCCAAGAGACCGTCAATGGCTCAGCTGAGAGCCACTGCCCACTCTTCAGTGGCCCAAGGCCAGCTGACCTTTGAGGATGTCTGCTGTGTTCCAGAGCCTTCAGAAGACCCTTAACATAATGAATGGGGGGGAGGGGGCAAACTTCAACATGGGCTACCCTAAATGTCAGGGAGTTTTAGATGTGGAGTATGTGGTTCAGAGGTAGGGAGGCTGGGGGAAAGGCAAAGTGGGGAGGAGAGGTTCAGGGGTAAGGACCTTCCTAGAGTCTTTCTTTTTTTGGGGGGCGGGGGGAGGAAACGAGGCAATCAGGGTTAAGTGACTTGCTCAGGGTCACACAGCTAGTAAGTGTCAAATGTTTGAGATTTGAACTCAGGTCCTTCTAATTCCAGGGTCCATCCACTGCAGCACCTAGCTGCCCCACCTTCCTGGAGTCTTGACAGGATTAATGCCACCCACTCACTCCCCCTTCCCCTTAGTTTAGCCTCATCCAAAACAGGAAATGAGTTTTAGGCAGTCTGATGAGATGAGGTTCAAATGAAGCTTGAGAAGGAGGCCTCTCTCTGGTAAGCCCAGTCTCATCTGCCAAAGCCTCTTAAAGTCTGATGTCCAGTCCCACCATAGCAAGCCCCCACATTTCACATGAGAGAAGAGGAAAGAGTCGCAGCCGTCTGAGCACTTAGTACAGTGTCTGGCAGACAGTAAATGCTTAATAAATGCTTGGTGATTGATCCTTCTCGAAGATCCTTCTGAACCAAAGGAAATAGGATGTGGATTCTGAGAGTCCATGGCCCTCCTGGGACATAGGACAAGCATTCAGCCTTGCCAATCGTGGTTTCTCTAAATGGCCCTGGGATCACATTGAGGAGCTAGGTTTACGAGACAGGGCTTTCTGCTGCTGCTGACTAGCCCCTCTCTGGCAGATAAAGGACTGATTCAGGAGCAGAGGTTTGCCAACTCTTGATTTGTTTGATTTGTTGATTGGAGGAAACCTAGGACAGACAGAGGCAACCCAAGAGTTCTTTCTTTGTACATCTGTTTTCAGCAGAAGCTGTTTTGTCTTTACCATACCCGCCATAGTTCACCTTCTGTTCCTGCAAGAACATTCCTCAAACTTGGGGATGGTTTGCTTTGGGGAGCCTGTCAGATTACAGTGTATATTTTGGGACAAAGGTTGAGGAAGGAGGAGTTGGAGTCATGTGGTGGCGCTGGAAAGGGAACTTGAGCCCATTAGATCCAAAGAAGAGTGGGTGACCTATAATCCTCAGTTGAGACTCCTGGTACCACCTCCTCCTGAATTAGCTATACTTTGGACCCAGCCCCCTGTGCTAGAAAAGAGGTATAGGAGAAAACAGCACATTGAAGCTGATAATGTTAACAGACTTCCTAACTCAGGAACACTGGAAGGCCTGGTGACTATCATCAACCCATGTAGGACCCACCTGCTGTTTCTTGGTAGAATGGGATTTACATGACAGCCTTGAAATGAGTGCTAGTGGGATTGAGACCGTCTCTACCTTTGAGCCTTGGTTTTCTCATTTATGGACAGGGATGTGGGTCTGGGTAGTTCTCCAAGTTCCTTCCAGCTCTATGATCCATGTTTTCAATCAGTTAATCAGGAAGAGAATAGACAATGTATGACTCAAGGCAAGGGTCTGGATCTGATGACTTGTCTGGGTCCCTCCTATTCCATGGTTCTGAGGACTAGGTATATAACAGATTTCAAATAGGTCCTCCCCCACCCTTCAGTGTTGTAGTTCCTCTTCCAGGCAGCCACCCCATTCCACATTCAGCAAGAGGGACCTGAGAGTTATATATATCAAAGCCAGAGTGCACAGGAATCCTGTCCATCCCATGCCCACCCAACTTGACCCTCTGGGCCAAGTTTCTGCTCCCCTTGGGTTCCGCATCTCAACCAAAATATCAAGACTCTTCCCACTTTATCCAGCAAGCATTAGGGCCATCCCTTCTCAGGGGGCTGACACTCCAGTTTAGTCCAATCAGGTCCATACAGTTGTCCCTGTCACATCTCAGTGAGGTACAAGTCACTGGCTACTCCTCACCTTGTCACACCCAGATGAAGTAGGTACAGTCAGACCCATGACACTCTGATAAAGTACAGCCATGACCACACAACTAAGTTCTCCTTCCTTGGGACAGCCCCAGGATATGTTGCAGGAGCCTGTCACATCAACACCAGCAATTCTTTTTTTTCCAGCCAGAGATGGAGAATCACAAAATCAAGGCCGTCCCAAACTTCAGTCAGCAAACTGGGCAGGAATTGCTCAGATGACCTCAACTCAGGCAGTATGGGAAATGGAGGAGTGCCCCCTCTTCCCCATCCTAAGGCTGAGCCTGGTGTTCCAGCACAAATGAAGCAAGAAGTTTTCCAGGACACACTGGATTCCAAAGAACATTTATTGCAATTAAAGTCTGATACAGGGCATGTACCATCTGCACAAGACACAATACAATTAGGTTTGAAAAATAAAACAAAACAGGAAAGGCCTCCTGTGAAGATGTGTGTAGTTCAGGTATTACAGGCTAAAATATAGAGGGAACAGAAAGTGGGAATTTTTTTTCTCAGTGGTTTTCAGTTGAAACATGGCCTTGTGAGACAGTTGGCTGTCCCAGAAGGGGTCCTTGCTCAGGCAGAAAAGCACTTTCCCCCTCCTGGCAGGTGGGGAACTTGACCCAGGTTTCCTAGAGTTCCCTCCTGACCTTTCTCTGGCCTCAGACCCCAGATCTTTCCAGTCTAAGACCAAGGCCAATTGCATGCTAATGCCCCTGAGAACAGGCACAGATGGCTACAGGAAAACAAGGAAGGTATACATGGACCAAGGCCACAGTGGCCAGTGGGGCCCGGCAAAGAAGCAGCAGTTTGATCCTGCTGCTGGGAACTCATAGCTGTTCAGGACAGCAATGGTCATTGACAGGTCTGTGTGTGACCTGTACCAGTGGCCAATGATGGAGCCATAGGTTGCTGGGGGCTAGTCGTCACTGATTAGTCTACAGAGTCTAGGATCCGAGGAAGTTGGTTTTCTAAGGAAAAAAGTTCTGGCCCAGGGCAGAGACACCGGCTGGTTCCTAAGAATCTCAAATGGCACAGTCAGCAGGTGTCTGGAAAGATAGTGATTTCTGGAAGACACTCTCCTCTGGGTCATCCTGCAGGTCCTACATGGGACTAACCCTCAGGGGAGTAAGAGGATTGACCATAGGCCCTGTCATAGTCATAGGGCTACAGTCCCCTCTCCCTTCACAACCACTTCTAGAGTTTCCTTTCTTAGTAATAACCCATATGTGTAGTTTCTCAGGATAGCTGAAGAGCCAAAAATCAACCCTCAAAAACCTCTTAACAAAGTGCTGGGCAGGAGGCAACTGGCTTTGACTATTTGATTAATTTACTTTCAATGTCTTCATTTCTGTACAAAGTTTCAGTGAAGCAGAAATATCCATGTAAAGGAGATTTTCAAGTATTCTGTGCTACAAGTAGAGACCTGGGTTCAAGTTCAGAGTCTCCCTTGAACTCTTGATGATGTGACCTTACATAAGTCATTTTCACCTTCACAGGCCTCAGTTTCCTCATTTGTACAACAGTCTTCCCTGCTAACCTCACAGGGTACCGTGATGTTCCAAGAAGAGAATGTATGGGAAAGCACTGGATAATTGTGAGGGGTTATTATTTTTATTAAGCTTTCATAGACACATAAAACACAGCCATGACCTTTCCATAAAGTGCTTGGGACCTTCTGGCCCCAGGCCTGATCTCCACATCTCTCAGGAAGGACTCAAGCCACAAATCTGATCCACAGGAAGATATTTCAGCTAAAGACTTTAAAGGTGCAGGAGAAATTTTTCTGACACTAGTCACATTCACATCTCTTTCTCCTCCAGAGGCATTTTCGTTTTGAGTATAGTTAGCAAGGGGTGACTACAGGCACCATCTACCTTCCTGTGTGAATTACAGTTTGTGATTACACTCAGGAAGTGAGAACTACGGCTGTTAGCCTACCATGTTAATCTCAGTACTATATGTAAAATCACGAGAATTTCTGTGTGCACAACTGACTCAAGGTGACTACAGCTGCTGCTTTCCTATAAGAACTCCAGCGTGTGTATAAATCAATAGGGGGCCGTCACCCCCTTTATGAATTTCAGAGTGGATACAAAATCAGCAAGAGGTGACTAGAACCACACAGTCCTGGGTGAATTTCAGTGTGTAAATACCCGGCAAAGGCTCATTATGGCTCATGCTTTGCCATATGAAATTGGGTGTGCGTATAGTCAAGGAGGGAGTGATGACAGCTGTCATTTTGCTGTCTGGGATTTCAGTGTGTATATGAGTCAGCAGTGGGTGAATCTGGTGACAGAATGGAGTACAGTGCTTAGCAATGCAGCTGGAGGTGGAGGGTGAGTCTGGCTACCGACAGCTCCTGCCTTATGGAGCTTAGGTAATTTCAAGTGTTTAAAAGGGAAAGGAGATCTGGATCCCTCCAAAGTGAGGGTACTCAGTGGAAAGACGCTGTTTAAGGCAAACACCACCAGGGGAAGGCTCTTTGTTGGCAACAGGCTAAGTTGGACAAGCATGCTGGTCCCCTCCCCAGGAGATACTGCTAGGGAATTTTGCCAATCAGCAAATTGTACCAGTTCAACAAATTAGCAGACAAGGCAGCCAAGGAAATGGCACTGGCTCTCCCCTAGGGCAGTCAACCCAGGGAATTTGCTAACATTCAAGTTCATCCTACAGAAGACATGAGGTTTCACAGTGGCAGAGTTTAATACTTCAGACAGGTCTGTCTGCTACTGCACATTAGAGTCCAAACATGGGAGTGGAAAAATTAGATGATCAGAAAACTCTGGAAAAGATGAGTCAGCAAATTAACTCTAATGATTAACACAGAACAGGGGCCTGCCTAACTTTGGGGAAGCTCCTTCGGAGCCAAGCCCCTTAGGGAAAAGTCTGTCGAAGACAACTGATTGAGTTGATTTAAAAGTGACTTGAATGATTGAGTTTATGAAAAATAATGAAAACTGCACCACAAGTTTGATGACTGATGAGGACACAGGTTCACTGGTGAGCAGGGACGGTGACAAGGGCTTCCTCTGGAGGTCTTGAAATGTCTACATTCTGCACAACAAAATACAGGAGAACACTTATCATGCAACAGGAACAGTTACTCTGACACCGAAAAGCTATTTTCTCAAATACAGAGTCCTGTCTACACAACTGGAACCCAGAATTTACAATAGGCAGTTTTTCCAGAAAAGTCATTTCCAGTATTACACACCCCTAGTGATTTTACCTCAGATATTTCAAATTCCTGAAAATTAAGACAATAGCCCTGTGCACTGCCCTCACATCCTCTTTGGAGCCAACACACCAGTGAGGATTTCTGCCCATAGCACCGGTTTTCTCTAGTTGAGAATGAAAGGACTCACCAATTCCCAACCTCGAAATGAGACTGTGTGCCAAGCTTCAGTGTCCTGGTTGTCCCTCCCACAGGTTGACTTCCTCTCCAAGGGAGAGGTTTGAAAAGACCCTATACTTCTGGAGTCCCCAAAGGAGTGGACAGTGACTTACTTAGCAGCTGCTGAATCTGAAGAGCAATGCCAATGGTCCCATTGGCAGAAAGTGCCATATGTTTTCCAATCCTACCTTTAAGCCACCAGACCTGCTCTTATTAAGAAAAGTTGTGCTTACGTTCTTGAGACAGCCAAATTCCAAGATCCCCAAATTTCTGTTCTAAGTTTGACTTTTGACCTGGAGTTTCTTCCCCCAATTTGTTTTTGTTATTTGGTTTTGGGTTTTTTTTTGTTGGGCAATGGGGGTTAAGTGACTTGCCCAGGGTCACACAGCTAGTAAGTGTTATGTGTCTGAAGCCGGATTTGAACTCAGGTCCTTCTGAATCCAGAGTCAGTGCTCTATCCACTGTGCCACCTAGCTGCCCCCTCTTCCCCCAATTTGGAGACTGATTGGTCTTGGAGCTGGTTCCTTCTCTCCAGCTGCCCTTAACATAGCCAAACACAGAAGTGGCTGCGCAGTAGCTGCTTAGTGAATGGATACGTGAACAAATCAGCTGTCTCAGGAGCCAGATATATACTCAACTTGGGAGGTCCTGGGACTACAAGGGACCAAGACGAACCAGAAGCACCCCTCCCCCCCCAAAGGCTTGAGTCATGGCAGTCTTGTACAGCCTGACTGCTGAAAATGGGGAGGGGACAGAGGCAAAGATAGTCAGTCAGCAAACATTTCTATTAAGCACATACTATGGGCCGGGCACTGTGCTACATGCTGGTGATACAAAGAAAGGCAAAAACACTATCCCTGCCCTCAAGGAGCTCACATTCTAATGGGGAAGGTTTATCTAGTCAGCAAGCACAGAAACCCCACTTGGGCACCCTATAAACTGGCCACCTAGGGTTTCAGAGGTGTTGCCCAGACACAGTTCTGCCCTGACAAGTCTCATGCTTGGGCTCCAGCTGTACTTGTAGCCAGAAAGGGGAATCCGGGAGTGAGTTGTCTCAGTTATTACTGTAGAAGGGCAATGACTTAAAGGGTCCTTGCCCAAACAGGAGTAGGACACAGCTCCATCCTTTTTATCAAGCTAATTTAGATTCCTTGGGAGAAAACAGAGAATCCTATATTACCCTCTTTGCCCATCTTCTGAGAAAGCCATTTCCAGTTTCAAAAAAAAAAAAACCCAACTTTATAAGTTCAAGACAGGGAGGCATGGATGGACAACAAATTGTGCGAAAAAAATCTGGAGTTTTTAGTGGACTTCGAGCTGAATTAGTCTGACATGGAAGTCAAAAAAGCTAACGTGATTTTAGGTTACAGGAAAAGAAGCATGATGGCCAAAGCATGAGAAGTGCTGGTTTAATTGTACTTTGACATAGCTAGCTGGTATCTGAAGTGTTGTGTCCTTTTTGAAGCACCATATTGGCAAGTAGGATTGGGTGAGAGGGCTGGAGACCATTGCTATACAAGGATCAGTTGAAGGAAAAAGATTTTTAGTGTGGAGAAGAGATTTCTCAGGGGAGAGCAAGGGAAAAAAAAACACGATGGCTGTTTTCAAGTGTCTGAAGGCTTTTTCTACGGCAGTAGGATTCGACTTATAGTGCTTAAATTAGCCTCAGAGAGCAGAAGGGGCAAAGGGGAGAAATTGGAGAGGAAGAGACAGTTTCAGCATTTTGATCAACCCAAGGGCTCTCAAAGGACTGATGAAGCATGTCTGAAACATACTTTTTAGACATGGCCAATGTGAGAATTCATCTTGCTTGCTTATGCACATTTGTTACAAGGGTTTTGTTTTTCTCTTTCTTTTTTTCCAGTGGAGGCCAGTGGCTAGAGAAAATAAATTTTTGTTCACCGACAAAATTAAATTTAAATTTAAAAAGAACCTAAAAACACAGTGGGCTTCCCCTCACTGAAGGTCTTCAAGCAAAGGATGGACAACTACCTACTTGGGATGCTATGATAGGATTTCTGCTCAAGCAGAAGTCATTGCCCTTCTACAGTAATAACTGAGACAACTCACTCCCGGATTCCCCTTTCTGGCTACAAGTACAGCTGGAGCCCAAGCATGAGACTTGTCAGGGCAGGACCGTGTCTGGGCAACACCTCTGAAACCCTAGGTGGCCAGTTTATAGGGTGCCCAAGTGGGGTTTCTGTGCTTGCTGACTAGATAAACCTTCCCCATTAGAATGTGAGCTCCTCAAGGGCAGGGATAGTGTTTTTGTCTTTCTTTGTATCACCAATCCTTAAACTTTTTGTGTCATGGGCCCCTTTGGCAGTATCTGCTGAAACCTCTGAACTCCTTCTGAGAATAACGTTTTTAAATGCATAAAATAAAACACACAGGTTTACAAGAAAACCAATTCTACTGAAATAGTTATCAATATATTTTTAAAACAAGTTCATAGGCTTTTGGTCTAGATGGTCTCTGAGATCCTTCTCAGCTCCAGGATCCTGTGGGACCAATTCCTGACTTGTGGAAGGCCCTCAGAAGACCATTGCAATGGAAAAAGCTGAAGCCTTCAGCCCAAGTGAGAAGAGTTAGCATCCTCAGCTTGGTAAGTGGCTGTTCACAGTTCTGGCCTGAACTTCCTCAGGGACGCCATTACAATGACCCTGCTGATACTACACATAAATCTACTTCCTCTAAAGCAAATTTCAGATTCTATCTCCCCATGAGGGCCTAGAGAGACCCAGCAGCTTCAGGATGTAATGAATTCTTCCTCTGGCCACAGCCATAAGCATGCATTTTTCTTTAACCCCTGCTGTTAGGAGGATTCCAGAATATGACCCCCTAGATGGCGCAGTGGATAGAGCACCGGCCCTGAGTTCGAATCCGGCCTCAGACTGAACACTTGACGCTTACTAGCTGTGTGACCCTGGGCAAGTCACTTAACCCCAACAAAACAAAAACAGAATATGATCCCCAGTGACAATCCCCAGTCCAGAGGAAGACCCACCATTCACAGCTATTATCAGGGCAATAGGTAAGAATGCACAGAGACCTGAGTTGAGTGTGTCCTATCACAGATTTGGGGGCTTAGGAAACCCTGATATAGTCTTAAACTGAAAGTGGGTGGATACATATGGGGTTTGTTTGTTTTTTTTAACTATTTTCAGAAAACTGCTTCCTTTCTTTCCTGCTAGCATTCCAGAGTTTCGGCATCAGAAAAACCATTTGGCTCCAGCATGTCCCCTGGGCAAAATCTGATCCCAGCATCAGAAAGACTTCTCAGAGGCAGTGTGATGTAGTGGTTAGAGCGCTGGACTTGGAGTCAGTCAAGGTTCAAATTCCAGCTCAGAAACCTATGAGTTGTATGAGCATGGGCAAGTCACTTGACCTCTCTGGTGCGGCATGTTTTTTGTCACTGGAAAAATGAAGATAAATAATACCTGTAGTATCTACCTCCCAGGCCTGTTGGGAAGCTCAAATAAGATACCATGATAAAGATGAAGCCCTTTGCAAAGCTTAAATCACTTCACAAATATCAATTATTACTTATCACTATTCAGTTACAGGCTAAAAAATGGTCATCCAAGCATGGGAAGGGCTGCCCAGACCCAGACTATCCCCTGGGGTGACAGTGACACCAGCCTGATGCTCATCCCCAGCTTGTCCCCAAGGCACAGGGTGATCCTAGCATCTGGACCAATCAGTGGCAGCCAGTCCTCTGTGCTGAGATGATTGACTGAGCAAAATAAGCACAATGATAAAACAACTGAAAGAGAATGTTGCAGAATGAAAAAGAATAAGCATGGTCCAAAGAGGAGATACGAGAAGATGCCTCCTCCCACTCCTTTGCAGACAGAAGATCCTTGGGCATGGAACAGAGCTTATATTTTCTCACTTTTTTGATGTTTTGCTTGGTTTTGCTGATTTTTTCTTCTTCTTTTTCTTTGAAGATATTCTTTGTTATATGGGATGGCTCTCTGGGAGGTGAGGAGGGATGGGATACTGGGAGATATAAATATGCCACTAAAATAGTATCTTTTTAAAAATTAGCCTTGTCTAGATAGTGCTTCTGGGTCTGACAATATCCTCATAACTACTGGTACCCAGCTCTGCCTTTGGAGAGGAGTAAGCAGGATGAACATTTCTTGGCTTTTAGCAGACCACATGCCCTGGGGGCCACTTAATTCAGGATGGAGAGTTCCTCCATGAAGTCTATGCCCAGGTTCTCTCCGAATGTCTGTTCAGGTATGGAGAATTATCTGGAAGATGTTCTGTGCTTCTGCAAACAAGTCCTAGGAGCTTTCCCAAGAAGGGAATAAGGAAAGCTTCCCAAGAAAGCCCGAGCACCTGAGCATGAATTCCCTCCTCAACAGATGTGAGGGCCCCTGGATCCATCCTCTTATCCAGTCATGGTTCTTCCCCTGATGCTGTCCCTGGGTTGGTGGTGCTGGACTCATGTTCCTAGGCTCCAGGGTTAGCTGGGCAGCCAGCAATGTTTCAATGCCACCAGCATTCAATACTTCCAGCAGGGCATTGTCCTTCCCTGCCCAACTATGGGTCTGGAAAGCAGAGTCCTTGGAATGTGCACCAAATCTGTTGTGATTTTCAAGGAATTTGCATTATGCATTACTGCAGAGAAACCAAGAAGGACTGTCCAGGTGGGAGAATTCAAAGTTACAAATTAAAGTTTAAAGACTTACACGGTAAATAGCTGGATCCTGATGGTGAACTTCAGCTCCTCTCATTCCACTTTGCTCTCACCTTGGTCCTACTCTCTTCCCACACAGCCCCTTAGTCTCTGAGCCTCCCTCCCCCTCACATTCTAAGGGAACATTTAGGAGATGCACAGGAGACAATAAGCATGCCTGATCATTGTGTAATAAGGAAATGAGGCCAGTGTCCAAGGCAGTCCAGAGACCACAGTGAACACCTGGCTCTCCCTTCTCCACTGTGCTTCAAATGAAAACCCCCAACAGATCTTATGACGTGGCCTTCTTTTTCATTGCCAGAATGAGCAGCACTATGTTTCCTCTCACCACCTGAAGTACCTGGTGCACTGACTAACTACCAAGGGCTTCAGGCATGCCAAACCAATGGGCACGACTATAGGATCATGACTATAGCAGCAGGACAAGTCAGAGGAACAAAGGTAAGTGGGAGCAGGGGCAGGGGTCTAAGGGGAAGGAGAATTTGGCCTGCTCTTGAGTTTCAAGGCAATTGAATCTGTGCATGCTACCTTTCACAGATGACAGGATGTGAGTGACCTCTGGGGTCATTTTGAAACAAAGCAAACACAGACTACTTTTCTGCATAAATTGTCTTTTCACTTGTGTCTCATGGCTAGTCTCTGCTACTGTCCAGGTCAGGGTCAATGTGCCTGAGCAATCCTCGTCAAGAAATTAGAATGGACTCCTAGAACTCCCAGGAACCTGGAGCCAATTCCCTGATGCCAAGTAGATAAATGCCAAAAATCAGTTCTAAGAGTTAGCTGATGTCCCATTTGATCTCATTTAACTCCTTCCACCAACCAAAATGTTGCTCAGCTCTGGCTGTGGCCAGAATTTAGGAAGACCTGAGCTCAAATCCCACCTCAGACACTTGCTAGCTATGTGATCCTGGGCAAGTCATTTAATTGCTTTTTGTCTCAGTTTCCTCATCTGCAAAATAGGAATAATAACAACAGCACCTCCTCCCAGGGTTGTTGTGAGCATCAAATGTGATAATAATTGTAACGCGCTTAACACAGTGCCTGGCACAAAGTAAGCGCTACATATATGTTAGCCATTATCACCTATTATCATCCTGGCTCCAACTGGGCACCAGTATGTCAGGATTCTGACACTGACTGGAAACTGTCCTTCTACATTCTTGAGATTGCCTCATGCCCGCCCTGACTAAAGGATCAACTTATGGGTCAGAAACTGGCAGAGGCCCCGAGGAAAACCAAGGAGCTACGTGGGGGTGCTGAGCATGATGACCACTGAAAATATAGGCTATAAGCTTCTAGTGGGTGGGGACTGTCTTGATTTTTGAATCTGTAACCTTAGTTCCTAATATAATCTCTGGCACTCAGTCGACAATTGATAATTATTGATTAACAGTGGGGCCCACTCCTACCTCGGGTCTGTCTCTGTGCGTGTTCACAGCTTCAACATTCAGGAATATGGATTCCAATTTACAACCTAGGGATGCAAGACAAAGCAAATTAATTGGATAGAAACCATTTGATCCTAGTTTGTTTGCGTCCTCCCAACGCTCAATCTTTGGTCTTTGTTTCTCTTCTCCTTTAGAGCCTTTCCATTGGTGATCTATCACTCCCAATTATTACTTGAATGTAGGTGACCCTCAGATTTATATCTAACCCTGACCTCTCCCCTGAGCTCTAATCCTGTATTTCCAAATGCTTGCATTGACACAGATGTCCTGCCGGCATTTCATATTCAATATGCCCAAAATTAGACTCATCATCTCTTCCTTAACCTGATCCTCTTATGAACGTCTCTATTTCTTTTAAAAAGTAACTTCATATTGACATTTTTTTTGCTTTGGCTATATTTCCTACTGTTTTCCTCCTTCCATGAGAGCCACAATGAATAATAAGGGAGTAAAAAAAAAAAAAACCAGGAAGGGAAAAAATTCGGCAAAACTAATCAACATGTCTAAAAAGTGTATACAGTGTTCCATACCCATTGCTCTCTGCTTCTGCATGGCAGTAACTCCTGTGGGCTTTAAGAATTTCACAGCTTGTGGCTTCAATTGTTTTGCTGTTGCTCTTTCCATTTACTTTGTCAAAATCATCAGCACATTGTTTCGGTTTTTTGGGGGGGAATCTGTTTACTTTGCATCAGTTCATTTTTGTCTTGCCATGCTTCTCTGACACAGTCATTATTTCTTACAGCATAGTCCTATCACATTACATTCACAAGCCTCCGTTTGTTTGGTCATTCTCCAAATGACAGGCACCTGTTTTGAGTTTTCTGTTGCCACAAAAAGAGCTGCTATAACTATTTTGGGGTGTGTGTGTGTGTGTGCAGCTCTGGTCACGTTGCGGCTTTGCTCTGAAACCTTCAGTGGTTCCCCACTGCTTAATGAACTAAGTATAAACTTCAAGATCAAGGCATTCAGTGTCTTCTAGAGCCTGGCCCCAACCTATCTTTCTAGCCTTATTTCACATTATTCTCTATCACATAATCTGTGCTCCAGTCAAATAAGATTATGTACAGTCCTCCATCATCATCCTGTCCTCTTCTATCTCTCTAACTTTGTTCATGCCAACATCTACACCTGAAACAGACTCCCCACCCCCCTAGCCCATCTCCTCTGCATCTCCATCTATTGAAATTCCGGCCTTCCTTTAACATCCAACTCAGTTGCTACCACCTCCGTGAAATGTTCTGATATTCCTTGTAATTTCCCACCCCCAAACCTCCCCATAATACTCCAGACTTATTATTTGCACACGTCATATTCTCATGGGTATTACAGTTATCTGTGTATATGAATAATCTCCCTATTCAATTAGTCTCGCTATTCTACTCACTAAACTCCAAGGGGTCAGACACCACATCTATTTTCACCCCCTAGTGCCAACCCCAACAAGGCTCTGCACATAGTAGGCTTTTAAATGCTTGCTAAATTCACTCGAAAGGAATGACATCTGAGATCATTTAGTGGTGGGAGATTTCCCCAAAGTCGGCCCAAGAAGCAGCTAGACCAGTTGCGAGCTCATGTTGCAATCTCTCCCTTTCACTGCATTTCTCAAATTCAACATTACACAGGCTTGAGTAGCATCAGCGAATCCCCTTTCAATCGTAATGGCAAAATTGGTGGCTGTACCTCAAACAAAAAAAGTGCTCTCCATCTTAAGCTGGTGCTTCCTCAGGCCCTCACCGAGGCAAGATGCCTTAGGAAGAAATTTGCTTGGGAAATGTGTGACTCCCTCTTAGAGAAGAACTAAAATAAAAAAATGTCCCATCCTCATACAAGATCAGTAAATACCCAGCCAGCACAGAGAATCAATAATGACATAGGGCCCACACACTATTTGCTTTAAAAGCCACAATCTTTGGAACAGGAGATGGTGGGTACTGGAATCAATGGGACATGATTACTCTTTTCCTTTTCTTCTGGAACTTAAACAAAACCCCCTACACATATAGTAACTTTGGGAAATCTCTTGTTAGTTCACTTTTATAAATCTCTTGTCTACTAGGCAATGTCTGAGACTCTCATTCTTATTTATTCAATACCTAGGTCCCCTGGAATACCTGACTAGATCACAGTACACACTCTTTGGCACATTCAGGCAGAGTGACTGGGCTGGAAGATAAAGAGCAGGTCTCTTCCCTTACCGTAGGCCACTGGGGTTAGCTTTAAAACCGTGTGCAGCGGGCACTTGAGATAAGGCAGCTGTTCTGAGAAATATAAATGGGGAAGAAAGTTAGTCACATCACAGAAACACTGAATCCTCCCAAAGCACAAACAACCTCTACTGAAAGGCCTTTGCCCAAAGCCCACCACAGGCATCTCCTGTTCCCAACTGCCCTTCTATGACAGATGGCACAGACATAAAGACATCCCTGGAGACTGCATTTGGATGCTCCTATGGCTGGGCAGTACCACCTTTGGCACCCATACCTGCAGTCTTGTCTAGAAAATAGGCAAGTAGGCAGCGCATTACGGCTTGGTGACAGATCACAAGGACATTCTCCTGCCTCTCCAGCTCCATAATTACTGGCTCCAGTCTCTGTACAAGGTCTTCATAAGACTGAAAGAAAACAGAATTGCTAAGTAGAGGTGACATTAAATTCCAGCAGGGGTGGAATAGGATGGAGCGGGATGAAGAGGGAGAGTGGCCAAGACCCAGTGCAAATAAGGGAAGTGAGTATGTACACACCTCTTTCCAATGCCACAGTCCTGAAAACAATGATGTCCCTCCTAACTCTTCCTAAATCTGACTTTTTCTCTAGCCAGTAAGGCAGCAACTGATCCACAGTAAGGTAACGGGAGGGGGATAAGTTGTGCTCCCCACCCCCACAAGTACACCCTCACCACCAGTTTTAATGTCATCAAGGAGGCCTCCTGCACTCCAGTGACTGACGTCACAACGACAACTAGCGCTTCAAAGCCTTTAGTTCAATCTCTCATCTGTACAGAGATCCCTTCTATAGATCCCCCCTAGAGATGGCCAGGGCAGCTAGATGGTACAATGGATAGAGTGCCAGGCCTGGAGTAAGGAAAACCTGAGTTCAAATCTGACCTCAGACATTTACTTGATGTTTGACCATGGGCAAGTCACTTCACCCTGATTGCCTCAGTTTCCTCATCTGTAAAATGAACGGGAGAAGGAAATGGCAGTATCTTTCTCTCAAAGATACTCTCCAGTATCTTTGCCGAGAAAACCCCAAATGGGGTCACAAAGAGTCAGACATGACTGAAAACAATTAAAGGACAACGACAGGTGGCTGCCCAGACACTGAACAAGGTCAATGACAGGGCACTCACTATGATTCATGAGTAGCCCATACTGAACTTAAGTCCCAGATCCTTTTCACATGAACTCTTGTCTAGCTATAGTTCCTTTATTCTAAAACCACATAATAGTAGTAGTAGTTGTTGTTTTCGCCTTAAATGAATGTCAGAAGCTACATGGTGGGCAACCCAAGGCATCAAACCTCATGGGAGCCAGCCAGGATCAGGTGCAGGCTTGCTTCCACACTGGTTAATGGTGTAATCAACTGTTTTATTTAAGTAAAGGAGAATCAAAGTAAAGTCACTGGTATTTGGAGATTGACTATAGAATTTTCTGGTGCAAGGAGACCATTCTGTGAGAGTGAGGTAAGAGATGGAAGGCTTGAGGAAGGAGTGCCCAAGTGCCCACGGTGGTTAGGGATTCTAAAGCCCCATTCCTTCTTTAATAATAATAGTTAGCATTTATGTAGTGCTAATACCCGGCACAACCTCCTGTGATGTCTTTGTGTCAATGCCACATGTCACGGAAGGATAGTTGGGAACAGGAGGCACCTGTGGTGGGCCCTGGGCAAAGGCCTTTCAGTAGAAGTTGTGATAAGTCAGTGTTTCTGTAATGGGACTAACTTTCCTCCAGATCTGTATTCCTCAAAACAGCTGCCTTATTTCCACAATTTTAAAGCTAATCCCAGTGGCCTACTGTAAGGAAAGAGACCTGTTCCTTATCTTCCAGCCCAGTCCCTCTGCCTGAGTGTGCCAAAGGGTTTGTGCTGTGATCGAGGCTTTTGGTGGCAACTCCTTTGCAGGCCAGACCCATTTCCAGTCCGACCTGTGATATCTGATAGGAGACTGCGAATGGAACTAAGAGCCAACCTGCCTCTTGAAGAAGATAAAGAAGATGAATGGAGGATGATTCCACCTGGTCATGAGATGTTTTCCCTACCACTGAGTTTCTCTGGTACAGGGGAACATTGAGTCGGGGACTTTCCAAAGGGCGTTAACTAACTCTGTGTTAGCATGGACTCTAGAAGACCTCTTTTGCAAGTCAGCACAATTATGGACCAATCACAGTCTTAGTTTAGTTGGCACCAGCTGACATTATGTAATGAATTTATATAACCAAACTGTATAAAAGTCTGCTCTGATTGTATGAGAGGGTCTTTGATCACTGAGCAATCATTGACTTCCATTATTGGTAATTGCTAGCCTTGCTAATAAATAGATTACACTCAGACTTTTGTGCCCCAGTTTCTCTTAATCAAAGACTTCTCAAGATACAAGTGGATGAGCAGCTTAGGGGTGGTCCAGGCATGTACAATATTCAAAGAGGAATTGTGTAAATGTGGGGCATGTTCACTGAAGAAGTGAGAAGTGGACTGCAGTAATCAAAATAATATCAAGACAAGTTCATTGACTCTAGGTTAAGAACTGATTTTTTTTTTTTGGTGAGGCAATTGGGGTTAAGTGATTTTCCCAGAGTCACACAGCTAGTATGTGTTATGTGTCTGAGGCCAGATTTGAACTCAGGTCCTCCTGACTCCAGGGCCGGTGCTCTATCCACTGCACCACCTAACTGCCCCTTAAGAACTGATTTTGTAGGGCATGGATCATCCCACTGGAATCTCTGTTATCTGCATGGTCAGGTTGTGGGTCCTCAAGAAGCACCTGCTGATTTGGGGGCAAAAACAGCTGGCTCTGATGTTGGATGACAAGAGACAGATTCCATTAAAGAGTTCTAGGCTATTCAAATGACCCTGGGGCCCAGAAGGGCACTGTGGACTTCACTGAATGATGACTCCAAGAGACCTAAATGCACTTAGGACCTCTTGGTGACACTATCTAGGGCCCTTCTAGATGAGATGCTAAACCACAGAGGATTAATTAGCATTGGAAAGGAAGGACCTCCAGACCTGGCCTTCAAACGTCTCACACAACTCTGTGGCCAATGAGGGGCTGCTATGGGAGCAATTTTTTTTTCCTTTTCTTTTTTAAATTCAGTTTTATTTTATTTTCAGTTCCAAATCTTCTCCCTTTCTCCTTCCCCTCCTTCATTCATTGAGAAGACAAGAAAAACAAAACCCATTTCAATGTACTGTCATGAAAAACAAATTTCCACTTTAGACGGGTCCAAAGGGAAAGGAAGAAAACAAAATATGCTTCAGTCTAAACTTTAAATCTATAAGCTCTCTACATGGGGGTGGGCAGAATGTTTCATCATGAGTCCTTTGGAATTATGGTAGGTCATTGTGTTGATGAGAGTTCTTAAGACTTTCAAAGTTGTTTATCTTCAATTGCTACTATACTGTTGTTATTATATAAATTGTTCTCCTGGTTGTGCTTACTTCACTTTACATCAGTACACACAAATTTTCTCAGGTTTTTCTGGAACCATTCTCTTCATTATTTCTTTGTTTGTGTTTTGTTTTGTTTTTGCCAAGCAATGGTGTTAAGTTACTTGCCCAAGGTCACTCAGCTAGTAAGTGTCAAGTGTCTGAGGCTGGATTTGAACTCAGGTCTTCCTGACTCCAGGGCCAGTGTTCTATCCACTGCACCACCTAGCCGCCACCCCCTTCATTATTTCTTAAAACACAACAGTATTCTGTCATATTCATATACCATAACTTGTTTGACTGTTGCTCAACTGATGGGTATTCCTTTAGTTTCCAAATCATTGCTACCACAAAAAGAGCTGTTATAAATTTTTTTTATATGGGTCCTTTTTTTTTTTTTATCTCTTTGGGAGCAAAGGCCATGTAGTAGCATCACTGAGTGGGAGGGCATGCAGAGTTTCACAGCTTCAGGGGCATACTTTCAAACTGTTTTCCAGAATGGCCAGGCCACCTCCTAGCTCCAGCACCAGCGCATTAAAGTACCTGTTTCCCCACAGCTCCTCTAGCATTTGTTTTCATTAATCTGATTATTTTAAGGTAGTACCATGGAGTTATTTTAATGTACATTTCTCTAATTATTAGTGATTTAGAACATTTGAAAAAAAAATATGGCTACTGACAGCTTGGATTTCTTCCTCTGCAAACTTCCTGTTTACATCCTTTAACCATTCATCACTTTGTAGGGGGCAAGTTTTCAAATCAAACCATTAAACTAAACTCAATTTGCAGTACCTGGGGGGAGGCCAACTGTCTTTGGGAACCTTCAGGCCAGAGATCTGTCTTGCTTAACTCCTAACAGGGGGCCAGCTGGAAGCCTCTGTCACTTTAAAATAAATTTTAATTTTAATTTTTTATTCTAAACTTAATAAATACCAAAATAACATGAGCATTTACATAATACATGGTAAATCAGAAAAGGAGGAATGCACATGAAACTTCAGATCTCTATTATGTAGAGTTTACTTTTCAAGTATAAAATACGTTCAACTTGTAGCTTTCAAAGCTATCTTTCCTGATTCTGGCCTTTCTTTTGCTTTCCTCTTGGCATTTAAAAAACAATCGATGCCCCAATGGCCCTTTTTTCTTTCTTTTCCTTTTTTTTTTTGGATACCATCCCTATTCTCCCTCACCCTTCAACCCTCCCCTACTGGGAAGACGTCCATGTAACAAACATGCCTAAGCAAGCAAATCAAATTCCCACACTGAGTCTGCACCACTAATAAGGACCAGAAGAGGGCAGCAGCAACATCAGGTTAATCCAGAGCTCCAGATGGTGACTGTGCCTCTCAGTGCTGGGTGACAGAGGCAAAGGCCCTTTGGTATCTTAAGGGGTTGGCACAGCTGAGGTTTGACACTGACAAGGCTGAGGGTACTGGGCCTAAGAGAGATGGAGTGATTATGGGTGAAATTGTCCTTACTAGCAGTTGGTCACCTCCCATGGGAAAAGTATAAAACCACCTTAAATCCAGCCTCCACAGAGCAGGCTCAATTCTCCAGATATTCTCCTGGGATCCAGTTTACCTCCTTCAGGGGACAGAGCAAGGTCCTAAATTCATGGGGGTGAATGTTGGCACTTCTCCAACACTAGAAATTATTTCTAGGGACACTGAAGTGGCCAGACCTTCCTCAGGGATCTGGCTGAAAAGTTCCAGGGAATTCATGCCCAAGTCAGAACCGTCCCTGTGTGGTGACCTCCAATCGGGATTGGTCAGGTATAGATGAACAAGGGCCATTCTGCTCTCCTGGGAGACCCCTGCTCAGGATGGGTGGGGGGATTACTGGTAGTCAAGGTCACTTAGGAGCTGTCACAGCTGCAGCCACAACTCTTTATCCTTTCTCTATGCCCATGGCAAGAGATAAGCAGTGACCCCAGACCGGACCACCAAACCTTGGGAGGCCCATCTCTAGATCAGAGGTTCTTATCTTAGGGTATGTAAACTGATTTTCTAATACTTTGATGGCTGTATTTCAATATATTTAATTTCCTTTGTAATCCCAGGTACTTAGTCTTACTAATTAAAAAACATTGTTCTGAGAAGGGATCTAGAGGCCTCATCAGATTGCCAAAGGGGTCCAGGATACAACAAAAGGTTAAGCACCCATGACCTAGATAATGATAATGATAAACTCTCTTCTCTTCTCTCCATATGAGATAATGATAAGCCCTCTTCTCTTCACTCCAGCCAAGCCTAGGCCCACAAAGGTCTGAGACAGATCCTAGATCAGGGCCTGAAGAAAGGACACATACCTCTCCTTTTGGGTATCTGTATCTATACTTGTCTTGATCCCGAAGTGCAAACTCTAGAGGGTGATGCTCTTGAATTTCTTCATAAGTCATTTCTTCACAGACACCCTTGAAAACAAGACCAGAAGGCATAAGCTTTATCAACCCCCAAACCATGGATCTCCTATCCCTAGAGCTCCAGGTGTCAGCGCCCCCCTCCAGCTTGGAGACATTAGCAGTATTATGGGGTAATTAGGAATTACCCACACTCTGGAGCTCTCAGTCACCCAGGTATTGCCCCCTACTCTGAGCCTTCAGTATTCTAGGTATTGCTCCCTCGTCCTCAACCTGGAAAAATGAGGTCCAATAAGAAGGGCCACCACTTTGTGAGAAGGGTGGGTTCAGGAATCAAGAACCTCACTAGCCAGTACGGATAAGTTAGGAACCTCCCCCACTTCCTGACTGGTAGGATTTCTGAGCCTGGATGGGGAAACATGACACATAAGGAAAATAAAATTTATAACAACAGGCAGCTTGTGCTAAGGGCCACAATAGGGGCTCTAGTAGTTTGGAGAAGCTAAGACCCCTGAGGACCGGGGTTACCAGGGGGCTTTTGGGAAGGGGTGGCATCTGAGCAGGGCCTTGAAGGATGAATAGTATTTTGATAGATGGAGAGTAGGTTGGAAGAATTCCAAGCAAGGGGAAGAATATTAGTAAGTTATAAGGATGGGAATCGATATAGAGTATAAACAATGAGGAGTCATCTCCATGGAAAGTGCTCCACGGAGAGTCAAGAGAAGTAGAAGGTATATGTACTGGCATTGACCTCACCAAAGATGCCTGGCATGGTGTCACTGCCCAGTCCAGGCTGTTTGCTCTGGTGGAAAACCAGGGTCTGGGATTGGAGTATGACGGCCATGTGACCCTACGAGTGGCAGCCTAGGGGCCAGTTGCAGAAGGCGACTGTTTGGAAAGACAAGATTGGACCATGTTGTAGAGTCCTGAATGCCAGTTTGTACTTTACCTTGTGGGCAGTTGGGAGCCAATAAATATGGGAATATGGGAATGACATGAACAGCTCTAATCATTCGGAAAATTACTCTGGCAGCCTGTCTGGGATGGACCAAAGGGGGATTGAATGGAAGTGAGGCAACCAGTTAGGCAGCTGATTTAGTTGTGTAGGTGAGAGGTGATGGGGGCCTGACCTAGGGCAAAAGCCCTATTAGTGTGGAGACTGGAGGATCTCTCCCAGGGCACCAGTCCTGGCATAGATTTTTCAGGGATAGAAATCAGTTCTTTTCCACTTCAGCCTGGACATACACCCTTGAACATGTCCCTATTTGATCTAAAGGCAAGATCTACTCTAGACTTCACCCACATTGCCCAAGTGAATAGAATCATGTCTTCACTTGTTGATTGGGTAAGTAGGTGAGTGGGTATGATACTCACTACAATGGCAACAAGGTGTGTGTACGGGGAAACTTACAGCATCAATTTCATTCAGAACCTTCCACTGCTCATAGGGGACACCCAGGGCCTCTGCAGTTTGAATTGTCCTCTTCATCTGGCTAGTCCAAACCTTCAGATCTTTGATATTCTGATCATTAATGAACCGAGCCAAGCTCTTAGCAAACTGAAGGCACAAAGCAAAATCAGATTCAGCAATTGTGGATTTGCCTTTCATTCATGGGTTCCCTGAACTCCCCACAAAGTAGAAACCACCCAATCAAATCACAACACCCCTTCACTTGTGTTTCATAAAACATGAGAACATCTCCTCAACCAAACAAACCCTGTCCTGATTGTAGGTCTGTACAGATGGATCACCTGTATCTAAACCTGACCAAGTCAAATTCTGAGTGGTTACGTCCTCTGGATTGCCCCCCAAGAGAAAGACAGTGGTTCTGATGTCAGGATGAATTCCAAAAGGGTCTTAGTGAATTCCTTAAGGGAGTCCTGGCTGCTCAAATGTCTTGAGAATTCTTTTGCCTGTTGTCAAAGAAGTGCCAGCATAAGTCTGGCTCACCCCCAAGCTGAATTCACCCCTATCAATTAAGGACTGTGATCTTTCCATCCCTGCACCCTACCGTTCCCTCAGATTTCTGTCCTCTAATCCTCATCCCTTTCACAGAAAAAAAACAAAAACAAAAAACCTGTTTACACTTATTGTCTCCATGTTCTGTCCTCTCACTCACTTCTCAATCCCTTGAAATTCAGTTTCTGACTACATCACTCAACGGAAACTTCTCCTTCCCAAATTACTAATGATCCTATTACCAAATTCAATAGACTTTTCTCAATCCTCATTCTTCTTGACCTTTCTTCAAGAAATTATACTCTTACTTCCTGAATATTCCTCTCTGCTGGGTTTTTGGTTTTTTCTTCCCTCTCTTGCACCATTTCTCAGTCTCCTTTGCTGGATCATCATCTTCCAGATCTCAGCCCCTAACTAGGGATATACAACAAGGCCCTAGGCCCTCAGATTTTCTCTCTCTCTCTTTCTGTGATCTCATCAGCCCAGTTCCCATAGGTTATATTAGGACCAATTACGCAGACGACTCACAAATATAAACATTTGCCTTAGCCTCTCTCCCGAGGTCCAGTCTTGAATCTCCAGCTGCCTTCTAGACATTTTGAATTGGATGTCTCCGAGATATTTCAAACTCAACATATCCAAAACAGAACTCATTATTTTTCCCCCACCCCTGCCCAAACCTCCCCTCCTCCAAACTTCCTTATTTCAGTCTAGGTACCACCTTCCTTTTAGTCACCCCAATTTGCAGCCTCCCAGTCATTCCTGATGCCTAAGTCTGTCCCTTCCCATATCCAATTAGTTCAAGGGCCACCTCCTACCCAAGCCCTTTCCTGATCCTCCCAGCAACCAGTGGTTGTTCAGTCGTGCCCAACTCTTCATGACCTCATCAGCTACTAGTACCTCCCCAAAAATATTTCCGTGTATCTACTTTTTATATATTGTACGGAGGGGTAGTGAAAGCCAGCCTCAAAGTTAGGAAGACCCACTTCTGACAAGACTGGCTGAGTGAAACCAGGTAAAATACTTACCCTCTCAGTACTCTGGATAATGCCAAGCTACAAGTTGCAGAGAACATGTCAACTTGCACTGTTAGAGCTTTCTCAGTTGGGAGCTCCCTAGTGAAATCACAGGACTGTTCTCTATCCGTAAATCTTACATATACTTATATAGGGTGCTCCAAAAGTCTTAGTGCTGTTTTTAGCTTCAATAACTTCACTTGAAACATTAAGTTTTTTAAAATATATTTTATTATAATTCAACATAACTGCCATTTTGTGCCTTAATCAATTCCAAAACTTTGCAAAAACTTTTATCAGCTGCCACTCAGTGACTGAAAAGATTGCATTTGTAATCCTAGTCTTAAAATCATCCAAACAACAAATTTTGTTGTGTTTTATGTATACATGATAGTTTTAATGTGACCCCAAAAGAATGCATCTAATGGAGCTAGACCAGGTGACTGAGGTAGCCAAGCAAGAGGACCTCCTGTACCTATCCACTGGTCTGAGAAAAAGTCGTCCAGAAAAAAACCAAACCAAACCAAAAAACTGTTGCACACACACAATACATAACAACAAGGTGCTTCGGTTAAAATTAAAAGTAAAAGAAATTTAAATAATTAAGCTTTCAAAATGACATTTTTGTCAGTTTGTAGCTTTTATATTTCTGAGGTTATTAAAGCTTAAACCTGCACTTAAACTTTTGGGACACCTTATATCTGTATATACTGTCTCCTCAAAAGAACGCAAGGCAGGGAGGGACTGCTTTATTTCTGTCATTGGAGCTTCAGTGCTTAGAACAGTGCCTGTCACTAGTTTGAGCTTAATCAATATTTGCTGATTGACTGACTTCCCAGAAAGGACAGTTGCCTCAACATCCAGTGAGCTGAGTGGCCACCGGAGTGGTCACGTTTAAGGCAGCTCCCAGGATGCCACACGCTTTCCACCAAAACCCGAGGATCCCCATGATTCTGCAAAACGTCCTATATAGAGCAGTGCACATATCTAAGGAGAAAAGCTGGGAGCGACTCGTGTTAACTTAGGCCCAGGTAATGAGCACTGATGCGAAGAAATCCATGGAAGATGGTGTCTGCCCACCCTGGAGGTCCTCAGGTCTACTTCTCACTGCAGGAAGGGGACTTCCATCAACTGCCACACCCACGACTTCCTGCAGAAAAGCTGTGCCATTCACGTGAGCTCAGTCCAGCTGGGCTCTAGGAAGGGAGGGAAGCTCCAGGGGGAAAGATTCTACAGTGCCGACACACAAACCAGCCTGAGCCCTCTTGGCTCAGACTTCTCCTATCTGTGGGATGACCTTAGGTCAGTCACTTACCCTCCCTTAGATTCAGTTTCCTCATCTGTAAAATATAATAATGGTCACTTACCCTACTTACGTCCCAGGGATGTTGTGATGGTCAAAAGAGAAAGCCTATGTAAAGCACTTTCTAAATGGTAAAGAGCTATGTGAGCATCAGCTATCATCACTATTATGAAATTATCATCACATACCTCCTTCCCCCTTGGGGACAGTCCCGTGTCCCCACCTATCCTTCCTTTGAGATTCAGTTCACTTTCTCCATGGCGACAGAGGTAGATGGATCGAGGGGTCACATGAATATTCATGAGGTAGTAAACAATGCGACTCTGAATGTGGTCCATCACTCTATTTACCAGGTAGCTCCGTCCCACATCCATGATCTTAATGTAGGAGAGATCCCTTTCCCCCACAGGGGAGGGAAAGAGGGAAAAGGGGATGGGAGATAGAAAGGGAGGAAGTTGAGGAGAGAGAAGAAAGTGAAGGGGAAGGAGAAAGATACGGGGAAGGAGAGGAGATAACAGAAGAAGAAACACAGATGGGAAAAAGCGGAGAGAAAAATAGAGATAAAGAGAATGAGGGAAGGAGAGACAGAGACATGGAGAGATGGAGTGGGAGGAGACAGAAAAGTGAAGGAGAGGAGAGAGATACAAAAAAGGGGACGTGATGAGAAGGAAGAAAGTGGAGCAGCAGATAAAGGGAAGAATGAGGAAGGACATATAGAAAGGCAAAGAGAAGGGAAAGAGAGGAAAAGGGGAGAGGGGAGGAAGACAGAAAGGGAAGGAAGGCAAAGGAGAAAAAAGACAAAGAGAAAATGGAAAGAGAGACTCATTAGGATAGCTCAAGCTTCCATCTCAAACTCCACTGGCTCAAATAAAAAAGGACATTTCAATCAAATTCTTAGCTATCTGTGGACAAATTCTAGCTCCTATCATCATCTCATTCATGGCATACACTTCCGTAACAAAAGGTCTTTGCAAACAGCTTAGGTTCATTAGTTGACAGTGGACTGGGCAGTAGGAGGCCATTGTGATGCTGGTGGGATTAGACAAGCATCACTGTGTGCTCTCTAGGCTTCTAGTGTAGCACTGAGGGGTTCACTTACACACCACACGTGACAAACAATCTGACCTGCAGAGCAGCAGAATCTCTGGCCCAAGGAACCACTTTTAAAGGAGCTTTTTTGACCTTTCATAAAACAAAAGGCCAAGTGAGTCTGTCCCAAGTTTTCATTCTCACCATGCTCTTCATGTCCCCTGTAACCCCTTCACTCATGCCTCATCTGTGAGTCAAACCAAGAAGCCATTTTAACACTATTCACCTCAAAAAGACCTGGCCAGGTCCCCAGTGTCACTCCCAGTGTCTCCCCTAAGGTTTTTCAGGCCATGGGAATGCAGATTTAGACCTGGAAGGGACCTTGGGGACCATCAAGCCCAATGCCTTCCTTTTAGAGATGGGGAAACTGAGGCACAGAGAGGAGAAATGACTTCCCTAAAGTCATTCAGCTAATATGTGTCTGAGTTGGAATTTGGACCCACACGCTCCTGACTCCAAGTCTAACATTCTCTCCATTACACTGGTCACAATCTCTCTCAGTCCTCATCTCCCTTTTTTCACAAAGGAGCCAGCGGTCAAGTTAATCCCCTCTCATCTATAGAGGAGACACGTGTAATCTGACACATCTGTCCAGAGGTCTGCGATGTGCCTAATGCTTGTGCTAGGCTATGCTGAATGTGGATGGTGAATGTGGTAAGGAGAGGCACAAAAAAGGCTCAATAAAAAAAATGAGGTCTTCTTTGTGCCTAATACTGGGTTTGGCTATTCGATGGGAAGGGGGAAAGGAAGAAAGCAATCAAAGACCAGTAGCCAGCTTTCAATGAGCTGTGTGGTACAGAAGGAGGGCATTCACCTAGCTCCAAGCCTCAACCTAAAGGCATTCCGAGTGCAGGTGCAAGAGAGGCTAGGATGGTGTCTATGAGCCAAAATGCTGGGATAATTTTCAAGATTCTCACACAGCTCTTCATGGACAGCAACAGTCTTGTTTACCCTGGGAACTCTCTGTTGTCACCACTAATCATCACAGCAATAAAAGCATGCAGGACATAACTGTCAGAAGAATAAAAGAAACTACTTGTTAGCCTCCACAGCTACTGGAGCCAGAAGGAATCCAGCCAGGGACCCTGGCAAAGGGGTGAACCTGGAAATGAACAGGTCAGATTCGGCCCTATGTTTTTCCTGTAGTCCAAACCGGGAGACTCAGCCACCAGCAGTCAACACCCAAGAAGTCAAGGCAGGCAGTGAGGGTGGTGGGGAGTTGCTCCCTGGGTCTTAGGAAGGGATCATTTCAGCTTATTCTAGAAGCGTGATCAGGAAAGGCTATTTCAATGGGATTTTAAAAGATCTCATTTTTTTTCCCCCTTTTCTCTAGGCAGCTAGGTGGTATAGTAGATAAAATGCTGGACTTTGAGTCAGGAAGTCCTGAGTTCAAATCCTGCCTCAGATATTTACTAGCTGTGTGACCCTGGGCACATCATTTAACACTCTGCTTGCCTCAGTTTCCTCATCTATAAAATGTGGATAACAATAGTACCTACCTTCCAGGGTTATAGTGAGGATAAAAATCTTTGTAAACCTTCAAGTGCTAAATTATAAATGCTAGCTATTGTTGTTGTTACTATTTCTTGCCCTCACACCCAAGCAGTTCAGGAAGGAGACTTGTCTTAGATGGCCAGATGGGATAGGATAGAAGAAGGAAAGGGTCTCTCTAACCAGACTACTGAAAGACACTTCCTAACAAGTCTGCTTAAGGAGGCCTGACTCTTCCTGGGACCAGGCAGCAGGGACACTTACTTGTCCAGATTTTCATCCAGTGTCTCATAGGAGTTCTTGTAGCATTCAATTCTGTTCATGAAATCTTCTGTGGCTTCATCATTCCCGCAGTCAATGTAGTCGGGACTGCCCAGTTTCACTTGCTATGAGAAAGAGAAGAAAGGGACAGTGAACAGTCCATGGGAAGAAAGGAGACGATGAAAGAGAATTAATCATTTTTCCTGCTTTCAGGCCACAGCAGTAAAGGGAAAATGCTACCCAGGGAGAAAGTGTGCTCAAAATTAGCTCTGTACACATTCTATCCTCAAAGTCCTTTGGATGAACAGACTTTTCTGGCAAAATGCAAAAGTCCCTCCAGAGAGAATAAAACCTCCCTCTCACCTGTCTCTAGTCAGGCAACATCTAAGTTTTGATAGGGAAACAAAATGGAACAGGCAGGAGAGGGAGTACCAGGGTGGGAAGCCTGGATAGAACGAGGCACTATGGATAGCCAGAGGGTGTCAAGGCTGGAGCCTGGGAGGACGGATGTGGGAAATAGGTTCAGAAAAGGAGGTAGGAGAGGGATTTATAAAGGGAGGTTGGAGGAGAGAAGGCCCCTCCATCGCAAGAGTGTGGTTGGTCATTAATCCTTGAGTTATGGTATTGGGACTAATTTATAAAATTTAAAATCTTTGCAACTCTTCATCTAGGCTAAGCCAGGCCCACTTCTCTCCTTTCCCTTGGTGTTTTCCTTATCTAATCTCATCAGCCTCCACTCTAGGTACATAAGCAAACCCTACCTCCCCTTCCTTTTTTTTTTTTTAAATGACATAAGTAATGTTCCCAGGAAATTGGCCATTCTCATGATGCTGAGTATAACTGGCTGTGTCAGGCAGGAGATGGGGGAGAGAAGAGCAGAAAAGAAGCCTTTCTTCAACCAGGGGCCATGGTCCCCTTTGCTAATGCCAAGCAAAGACTTCAGGCTGATCCACTCACCACTATGTTGGCAGCAATGACATCAGGATCCACACAGATTGATTCAACAAAGAAGGTCTGCAGCCTCAAATCCAAGGAATTAAGGACCCCAAAAAGGGAAGAAACCAAGACAGAAAAGGGACATAGTTGGGCTACATGTGTTATCTGCTGGGACAACAACTTCAAATTTAAAATCACTTGCTCGGACATTGAGATTCCTTTTTCCCCAGAGGACAGAGCTTAACTATACCAGGACTCAGGGCACGCAAGTCCCTCTCCCAGGGAATAAGCTACTGCAGCAGCAGGAAGTTCCTCTCTTAATAATATTAGCTAACATTTACAAAGCACAAGGTTTACAAAGTGCTTTACACATATCATCTTCACAACAACCCTGTAAAGTAGGGGCTTTTATTATCATCATCTCCATTTTACACACTGGGAAACTGAAGCACAGAGAGGTTTAGTGACTTGCCCAGGATCACATAACTGGTAAATATTTGAGGCAGGATTTGAACTCAGATCTTCCTGTCTCTCAGTTGAGTACTCTATTTGCTATGCTACCTAGCTATCTGATTTCTTTTAGAAACACTCCTCAAGTTTGTATCCCAAAAAGATTTTTAAAAAGAGAAAAGAACCTATTTGTACAAAAATATTTATGGCAGCTCTTTTTGTGGTGGCTAAGAATTGGAAATTGAGGGGATGCCCATCAATTGGGGAATGGCCGAACAAGTTTTGGTATATGAATGTAATGGAATGCTATTGTGCTGTAAGAAATGATGAGCAGGTGGACTTCAGAAAAACTTGGAAAGACTTAACATGAACTGATACATGAAGTGACCAGAACCAGGAAAACACTGTACATTGTAATGGCAATACTGTACAATGACGAACTGTGAATGCCTTAGCTATTCTCAGCAATACAATGATCCAAGACAATCCCCAAGAATTCATGATGAAAATGCTATCCACCTCCAGAGAAAAAACTGATGTTATCTGAATACAGACTGAATCATACAATCTTTCTTTCTTTTTTTTTCTTGTCTTTTTGCACAAAATGACTAAGATGGAAATGTCTTATGTGATTGCACATGTATAACCTATATCATACTGCTTACCATCTTGGGAAGCAGTGAAGGGAGGGAGGGGTAGAATTTGGAATACAAATGTAAAAAAAAATGTTAAAAATTGTTTTTATGTGTAATTGGGGAGAAAAAATATTATTAAAGTGTTAACAAAAAAGAAAAGAAAAGAGAAGAAATATTCCTCAAAATTCAGACTCTAAGAGGAGGTTCTTTCCTAGGAAAGTCCTACTCCAGGGCTCAAAAAATAGAAGAGCCCTTCTCTCAGGATTCAGACAGTGTGAGGCATCTTTCCTAATAGGCATGGAGCCTTAGAGCTCAGACAGCAATATACCTCTCTCCCAGTGAGTCACATCCCAGCTAAGGAAGCAAGCTCTGGCACGACCTCCTAATGCCCCAGAATTCTTAGTTCAGGGGATGGACCACAAATGAGCCCTGATAGACAGACAACCCATAGAGGCACTAGTGGTCGGAGACTTGGCTCCCCTGGGCAAGTCATACAAATCAGGAAGCTAGAGATTCACCTTGTAGCCATTCTCCTCTCCAAATTTAAAGATGGTCTCTCTGCGTTCTCGCGTTGTGTTTGTGGCATCAAAAACCTAGAGTCAAATGGAAGAATATGACTACAAATAGTCCTTAACATTTGAAAACAGCAATAAAAGGTCTACATGGATACTATGCTTTCAATGTCAGGTTTGGGAAAAACAGTTCATATCAATACCGACCAAGAAAAACTGGATATTACAGAGATTGGAAGGGAACTAATTAAGGGGTAGAAGGGAAGGGAGGACTGAGAGAGCTTCAAGGGGGAGAAGAATGAAGCTACTCCCATGGCCGATTCTGGTTTGAACCACCTGCTTCATCTCCTCAACCCTCTGTCAAAATTAGAACTCCTTCCTCCCTCCAGGGCTGGAACAAGGATTAAACACACATGCATTTATGAGTACAGAGAGCAGGTGTTTGGTACACAGAAAGTGCTGAGCTGATAGAACAGAATAGTTCTCCTTTAACAATCATGTAGGTGGGGTACTAGGCCCTTAGAGCCCCTTTTGTCACTTGACTGACAAATATTGCTTGGAGGGGGCAGGGAAGGGGGCTGGGACACATCCTGGTGAGGTCCTGATTTTTCAAAGCTGGTGAGACATGGTCTGGTGCCCATCGGAGACACCATGAACCCCAAAACTGGGGCATATCTGTCTAAAGTCAATCCCCAGAGCACTTCCTCAGAGCCTGGCTTGGGAATTTCTACACCTACCTCTAGATCAGGGGCTCTTTACCATTTTTGTGTCATGGATCCCTCTGGCAGTCTGGTGAAACCTATGGACCCTTTCTCATAATGTTTTTAAATGCAAAAGATCAAAGTCATAGGATTACAAAGGAAACCAATTATATTAAAATATGGTCATCAAAATATCAGAAAATCAAGTTGACAGATTCCAAGTTAAGAACCTTTGCTCTAGACACAAAAAATAATGATAATAGGTCACACTTACCTTAAGGTCTGCAAAGCACTTTTCACCTATTATCTCGTTTGGTCCTCACAACAACACTGTGATGTAGGTACTAATATTATATCCATTTTACAGATTGAAAGGTTAAGTGACTTTCCCAGGGCTACAGAACTAGTGAGTGTCTAAGGCAGGACTAAAATCTAGGTCAAGTCTTGTATTCTATTTACTACACCAAGGGTAACAGAGTCACAAACCATTAAAGCTTTTTATCCTATGAGATGTTAGAACAGCTCCCTCAGACACAGGGGGAGGGGGTGAAGGACCTAATGAAATTCCATCATTCGTTGGGGTCCAAACTCTCAGCCCTGAGAATGGCGTAGTTCAGCTCTAAGGATATGCTTCCCTGAGGCTTCGTTCTCATAACTCAGAAGTAGGAAAGTAACTTTCACAGGGAAAAGCCTCACTTCCCACAGGGGTCTTGGGATTTGGCAGCCTCAAAAAAGGGAAGAACAGATGAATTCCCCATTTGGGGCTGTCGGGACAGTGAATTGCTTCCCTCCCTCATCTCCCCTCCTTCTCTTTCTTTCACAGGCAGAGAAGGTCCTGGGTGAGAGGTACAGTGTCATCACAGCACGGAGGCAGACAAGACAAGACCACGGGAAGTTGTACCTCAAGGATTACCTGAGCCTCAAAGCCAACACATGCCCCACACAAACATGCTTCTTACACAAAAGGTATTCAACCCTTCCCTTGCACACAAAGGCAGGGACTATGACCTTGAGAAAGGCCCAGTGAAAATGGGTGCGATAAGTGTAATCATAAGCTCACCCACTGGGGTGTGTCTATGTGTAAGTCGAGCATGAGCACAATGCACTGTGGTGGGGTGTCACACTCACCGCTACATGTCCACCCTCTTCACTGAGGAACCGCCTGACATCTCGGAGGGCTGCCTCTGCACACTGTCTGGGAAAGAGAAAACACCCATGAATATTCTAAGTTTGAATCTACATTAAAGAAAACAACAACAACAACAACAACAAAACTTCATGCTGTTAAAAATGGTTCCTTCAATAATTTAAACATTATAATTAAGGTAAACTTTAATTTTTTTCAGTAGTTTACTGAATGTCCTCTGACAAGTACAAATCTTCAAATATACAAAGTAAAAGTAATTGAGCACCAATATGAAAGCATTTATTAAGGATCTACTATATGTGAGGCATTGTGCTAAAGGATGAAGTTACAAAGATGAAATTGAAGAAGTTCCTGCCCTCAAGGGGCTTACATTCTATCAGGGAGACAAGTACATACAGCTATAATAAAGCTATATAGCCAATAGATACAATGTCATTGCTGGGGAGGGGGGTGCAGAGGAGGCACCAGCTGCTCATGGGATTAGGAAAGGGCAGGAGGTGGTACCTGACAAGTGTTTTGAAGAAAACAAGAGATTCTAAGACATGGAGATGAGAAGGAAAGAATATCCCAGGCATGGGGACAGCCAGAGCAAAAGCAGGATATGATGGTGTGCAGTGTATGGGGAAAAGAAAAAGCAGAAAATAAATGAATGTGATGATGAAACAAAAGCCATCAAGACTTTCATCACTTGAAATAAAAAAAAAAAAAAGAATTAGAATCTCTAGTTCATCTTGCTTGTTACATAGACCTTGTGAATTGTTGATACAGACCTCTAGGGGCATGTGTTTTATTATTGCATCCTTTTTTAAAGTTATTTTTTGTTGACCAGCTCAGTTCCTGGAGTAGGTATAGTAGAAGGGTCTACAGAACACCCCAGCAAAGGCCAGGACGTGCTAAGTTCTGAAACTGGAACTAATATTGAGTAATATTGGCCACCAGAGCTAAGATATGTCACAATGGCCGATCTTACCCAATGTTATGACATAAAGCTTGCTGTAAGATCAAATGTTCACTGATGAGGTGAACTGTGATCTGTCATGAGAAGAGGAGAAAACAGAAAATTTTGGTGACTGAGAAGGAATGTAGAAAAATAAGAACTACAGAGCTCTCATTTTAGATAATCAGTACCAGCTCCATAGCCAGAATGAAGAAGGTTGGTGGAAATTTCCCTCAACAACATTAGAATGCAATTTACATATACCAAGCATTCTGATTTTATACTTTGGTGTCAAGGGGGACCTATCCACCTACCTACCCACCAGGGGGAAAGAGCCTGTGACAGAATACTGCAACTGGTCCTCCTGTCAAGACTATTTAGTCTATTGCAAATAAATGAACTGACATCTGGCTCATTAACAATAAGACAAAGATTTCTAGAACAAACACCTAGTCAACTGCTTTCTTCACAATAAGCCCGTACTAGTTTTACAGACTGGGAAGCTGGGGCTCAGAGTGGTTAAGTAACTTGTTTATGGACACATGGTATGGCTAGCACTCAATCTTCTGATTTCAAGTTCAGTGCTCATTATGATGAGGTCTAGAGGTTAGGGGTCCTGGAATCCCAAAATCATGACAGGCAGGTCCTGCCCAAAAGAATTCGACCCAAGTCTTCTTTCAGCCAAAAACACAGTTTACTGAAGATTCCTCATATTAGCTAGACTCTTAAGGAATCTGAGCATCTGTGGGCTATTGGCTAGATTGTCAAAATCTGCGCATCTTAATGGAGACAAGATGGACCTTATATACAGAAAGACTGTGGGAGGGATCCAGGAGTGGCCAAGTAGTCTATGAGGTAATAGAATTCCAGGGAAATGGAGCCTAGGTGGGACCAAGGGTGGGAAGTAGCCTGGGGATATAGGAAGACAAGACAATGGAGGGCCAGGTTAGGTCAAAGATAACAGAATTGGGGGATTGGGTGTAGCCAAAAGGAATCATGGCCTCAGGGGAACACCAGAGATCTCCTTGATCAAGTCGGAGAATTCAAGGACAGTCTAAAGGTTTTCTAGGGCCCATAGACAAATGGAGCCCAAATTGGGACAGAGATCTCACTTTGGGCCCAAACCCCATCAATTCTACTAACCCACCCTATCAATACTTTGGGGGAGTTGGTTGGTATGAATTAGTTCCCTACACCTCTGAGTAGACTGGGAAAATCAAAATTCTGAACCTAAAGATCTTGATAGCGCTTTTGTATGTAAGTTTACTCAAATTCAGTCATCTATCCTGTTTATTTAAAGATTTTAAAATAAGAATTTGTTTTCTTCTAGACCAGTGGTCTCCCATTTTTTTCGTACGACCCCTCCCAATGTCTATATTTACTTTAGCTATAAATCATACACATGTTGTTGTTGCTCAGTCATTTTCAGTCACATCTCACTCCATAACCCCATTTGGAGTTTTCCTGGCAAAAATACTGGAGCCATTTTCTTCTCCAGCCCTTTTCCAGATGAGGAAACTGAAGCAAAAAGGGTTAAGTGACTTGCCCAGGGTCACAGAGCTAGTAAGTGTCTGGGGCTGGATTTGAATTCAGATTTTCCTGACTCCAAATAAGCTGGAGAAGGAAATGGCAAACTACTCCAGTATTTTTGCCATCAAAGAAGAGTTTAACCCTCTTGGGAAGCGTCTGAGGCCAGATTTGAACACAAAGAGATGAGTCTTCCCTATCGACCATGCTACCTAGCTATTCCACATACTACATGTACTTAATGTACTTAAACAATTAAGTACATTATAAAACTTAAACACAAAAAAGAAACATTTCAAAAGAATAAAATAACATTTGGTCCTAGAGTCACTAGGAAGCCAATGTGTTTACTGGGTACAGAAGTGACATGGTCAGACCTATGCTTTAGGAAAATCACTTTGGCAGCTATGTAGAAAATGGACTGGATAGGGCAGACACCAAGGGCAAGGCAGGGAAACCAACTGAGAGGCTGTTGTTATAGTTGTTTGTCAAATGTTCTAGAAGAGGACCGTGATGTCAGGAAGTTAAGGTCACCACTTACAAGAGAATATAGTGAGAGTTGGTGACCAGGAAGATAGTGGGGCCATTGACAATAAGCAAGTATGGAAAACAGGAGGGTGGGGTGGGAGGGGCTGGGAGTAGGGAGAAGATAGAATCATGAAATCTCTGATCTGTAGCAATTTATTACAGCCTGCTTATCTGGCGCAAGACACTCTGGAGACCAGGGGATAAGTATGTAGGGGAAGAGGGATGTTGGAATTTTGCCATTGGCATTTGTGCTAGATGTATTGAGAGCTCAGGGAGTAGTATTGCCCTAAGGGACTGGACCCAGGCTTAAAAGGGAGGGGGAAGGGGATGGGAATTTACAAGAAGGCCAGGGAGCGTTTGGGGATAAAGGTAGATGAGATTATATTGGACACAAGTCCCATGACTGGCCAGCACCCTCAGACTAAGTGATCACATTTCCCTTGGGCTCAGGCCCTTCCTCCCAAGGGGACATGGGCCAACAGCTTTGGACCACCCTTCTGGACAATGTTTCTGGACAATTGTGAATATTAAGCAATTTTTCTCTTTGTCATTTTGCATGGGTATTTTTCAGGATATTTGTTCTTTACTAAAATTAAATTTTTCTTGTTTATTAGGCAAGAGGCCACTTTGGCATGGATGACTAATGTTTATATGACCTGAACTTAGTGTTCTTGCCTCTGTACTCACCACGGATGCTGGATGAAAATGTTCTTAAGGATTTTAATTGGTCTTGGAATGTCACATATGCTTCAAAAAAAATGTTTTATCTTAGGACAATGACCTGTCTTTTAAAAGCCCTGCCTCCTTAGAGGTTTGTTTCCAAAGTTATCTTGATTTCTCTGATCTTAATATTAATAGAACCTTTGATTCTGGTAGAACTAGCTTTTTAAGTTTTGAAAAATGGGGTGTCTCCAGAAGTTTAAAAGTTTCCTCTTCTTTCACTTTCACATATTAGGATTAATAGCATTTAAAAGGTACATTGTACCTTTATTTTTTGCTACTTTTTATTGTTGTCATTGCTATCAGCTTGGGCTCATCTTTGGTTTCCATGATTTTCATTAACGTGTCTTCCATTTTCCATTTTGTAATATTCCTTCTACTCTTGCTCAGATGTAAAAGCAAGTCTTTATCCTTGATAACTTACACATTTTTGGACATGGCCATGCAGTTATTTGCTTTGCCTGATTAGGCATATTTGTTAAAAGGGTTTTATTTTTATTTCTTTCACTTGGGAGGAGGGAAAGTGAGGACAGAAAACAAGTGCTTGTTAATTGAAAAAGATAAAATAAAAAGTTCTTGGCTTAGACACTGACCATGCTGGATCTGCTTTTCCAGGAGGAGGGAACCAAGCCTTCTCCTTCCCACCACCTAAACCACTGCTCAGACAACATGACCCCCTCTTCACCATAACTGGCTTGGCTCCAGACAAACGTACTCTTTACAGCAACTCTTTTCACGGTGATTAACGACTGGTTCAGTAGCCACCTGCTCAGGTTCTCAGACCTTTATTTGTTGTCTCCCTGTCTTTCATGAAACCATATTTTAGTCCCATTGACATCCATCATTGCTGAAGATGAGATTTCTTAGTCTAAAACAACTTGTGAAATCTTTTCGACATCCACTGAGAGGAGAATCAGCACTTTAAAATCAGATTCTAGTTTCTGCTTGGCCACTACTACTCTGATTTCTAGCTTCTTCCTCTGTGAAATGGGAAGAACTCTAGGCTACACACATACACACAACATGCACATATGTATACACACACTGAGGAGGAAGGAAATGACAGTACTTTGGGGTCTTCTGAGAAAGGAAGGAAATATAGCCAAGATATTCACATCTTGTTCTAATTTTCTTCAAAGGACAGCTGATTTTCCATTCTTCCAATTTATCTATACCAAAGGAAGGCCTATGTACTCCCAGAAGTGGAAGGAATGGATCCTAAAGTCAACAAGTCAATTCAACAAGTTTTTATGAAGCACCTACTATGTGCACTGGGATAGAAATAAAGGTAAAAAACAGTGCTTGTCTTAAGGGGCTATAATAGGGGAGACAATATGCAAACATATGTACGAAACTATACATGTGCAGGGTAAATTGGCAATCGCCTCAGAGGTACTAAGATTAAAGAGGCCTGGAAATGGCAGGAGTTTAGCTGAGATGTGAAGGAAGCCTAGCAACCCTAGAAAGATGAAGATGAGGGCAGCTAGGTGGTGAAGTGGATAGAGCTCCAGCCTTGGAGTCAGGAGGACCTGAGATCAAATCTGACCTCAGACACTTGACACTTACTAGCTGTGTGACCCAGGGCAAGTCACTTAACCCCAATTGACCTGCCAAAAAAAAAAAAAAAAGATGAAGATGAGGAGGGAGACATTCCCGGTCATGGGAGATTCTGGGCAGTGAAAGTGCCCAGAAGCTAACACTTTAGAGGAATGGCCCCAAAGAGGGCCACCTGACAATGATTTAAGTTGGTTCTGACAAATATTTTCTCTTACCCAAAGATTATGCCACCACTGTCAAGAAGAGCATAAAGCCTTGAATGTCTACCAGCCAACACCCCTATCCCACCCATGACCCTACTAGAAGCCATGAGTAAGCCAGAAAGCTTTGCCCTGAGATACCTTCAAAGCAGAAATAGATGAACATCTAGCCTGCCATTCAGAGACAGCCCTTTGGGAGTGTGAAGCTGAGAATATAGGGCAGAGCACTCTAATATGTGAAGAGGCCACTAAGCTGGGCTAATCTGATCGTCAGTAACTTTAAGAAAGTATGGAAGAAGCAGCAGACAATGAGTGTGGAATGGAGAAACATGACATATGGAGCTTGAACCCCCATGTAGGGCAGAAGAATGAACAGTATTCAGGCAATGTGACTGCCTGAATCAATATTGGTGGACATCAAGCTGGCCCATTCTTTGGTAGGTTCTTGGGGTAACATGTAGGAAAATGTCAGAATGAATAGCCAGGTGGAATTCTGGGCAACAGTTCTTCAAGTAACAGTAGTCAGTCTATCTTCTGAGTCACCTTTATCTTCCCCATATGACTCTAACTGCTGGCCCTCAGTAAAAACTGGACTCAGTCAAAAGGCCACATGTGGCCTTGAGGCTGCAAGGTCCCCACCTGAGTACCTTTTAGCCAACTGTGTGATGGTAAAAGATTGTGAAAGCTTGCCAGTTCCCCTTTCAAACCTTCACCGAGGAAGCCCTGGCTGTATGGGTAGATTATTCTCATAAAAATGTTAATGACACCAAGCTCCTCATTTTTTAATAACAATATTCTTCTGTTGGTGATGCTGCGTAGCTCTGAGTCATGCAATACCATGGTCTTCAAAGTATTAAAGTTAAAGGTCACAAAAGATCAATGAATGAGCAGGCTGACAACTTGTTGATGAAGAATGACACAGAAATGAAGGACTGAGGGGAAAAAATGGATTGGTCATGTAATGAGAGTAAGGTGGGAAAGAAACAGGCCCCTCTCCCCTTAATTAACATCAAATCAAAGGTTAATCTTAAGAGTCTTCATAGCAAGCCCAGTCCTGTCTCCTCTTTCTTGGTCTTCCACTAGAGTTTAAAAGAAAAAAAAAAGGCTTCAACTTACTTTCTGATTTTCAAGCCTTCTTCATTGTCCGGAAGAAAGAACTCAAAAGATCTATATGTTTTCACCAGGTCTCGACGATACTGGCCAACATTAAATTCTGAGATGAAAAAAAGAAAGTCTCAAAATAGTAGGGCAAGTGGGAGTTCCAATACCTCTAAGAACAGCACTTTGACAGACCACGTTACCCTATTGGCAGAGGAGGCACCCCTTCCATCAGAGTCAGGGTCAGGGTTGCCCCGTCAAGGATCACCAATGAACATATCTATAAAGACCACAGGCCCTTTCATGCATGAGAATGACTACTCTGCTTATTCCTTTGTAAAGAACAATGGGCAGTCGCCCCTGGTTGGGCTCCTGCCATGCTCCTTCTAATCAGCTCACCCCATATCAGCATAGAGGCTTCTCTATGACCCAGAACCATGCAGGTCTGAATTTTATGCCAGAGACCAGGAAAAGAATATTCCAAATTTCATACTCTGCCTCCCATCCCTGGTACCCTTCAGTGTCCTCAACTCTGTGATCCCCCAAACAACTGATGATTCACAGTCAAAAGCCCTCAGGCTTGAGACATTTCCTAAGGAATAGTGATGCCTCCCAACACTTCCAAATGTCAAAACCAATGAGGTGCCTAGACCTGTCTAGACCCAGAGGGTAAATTCACGTCATGGTATCCAGGCACCCTAACCCCACCCAATTTCCAGGAAGGTCCCTTAGACCCAGGGAACCTTCTTCTCAGGTGTCTGTCACCACTACTATCTGGCCAAAGTGTAAGGTGTGAGAGTACCCCTTCTCCCCAGTGCCTCCTGAGGCTTAAAGGGCCCCTTTTTGGGATCCTTGTTTTGAGGGTAGATTGGAGAGGGGTTGGGAGGGGAGGGGAACTTTATCAGTATATAAAATTCTACGTTATTGTGCATTAACCATTTAATGTGGATTAGCCATTAAAGTTACAAACTTAGTCTGCAAACAATGATATGGAGCAGGGATTTTAGCTCCAACCTACCAGCCTGACTTCCAATAAATTTATAAGAAAATTATTCTCCTAATAAAACTGAAAGCTTCCACTAAAGTCTTCCTATCATGCCTCGCCGTGCTACGGAAATAACCCTGGGTTCCTGAAAGTGACGCCCATGGGCCAAGCCTACCTAAGTGTAGAGAAACTCATTATGAGAAATTTGGCCACCAAGCAATGAAGCAACTCATTTGGGAGATTTCCAGCTCTATGAATGGAGAAAGGAACTACACCAGTGAACTCATGTACCTTTCAGGCTACCAAAGGCATGAAGTGAAAAATGAGACTATCACTCCTCATATTTCAAGATGGTCTCAGGGAACAGTAAGATAATGTCAGAGTTTTCCTAACCTGGTCCTTGTGATGACACAAACTCTGTGACCACCAGTCCCCTGGCAAAAAACTAGGCCTGTCAGGCTGTCCAGAATTCAGGGGCGGGGAACTTTCGGCCTCAAGGCCATATGTGGCCCTCCAGGTCCTCAAGTGTGGCCCTTTGACTGAATCCAAACTTCTCAGAACAAATCCTTATCTCTACACCTTACCCCTGCTCTAGATAAGAGCTGCTTCCTCTCAGAAGCACCAGTAATGAGAGTCTAGCTCAGACAGGAGATAAATCACAGGCTTCTCTGGCCCTCACCTCTGGTTGGGACACCAATCCAGTTTAAGTAGCGTGTCAGCTTCTTGGAGATATAGGTCTTCCCTCTAGCTGGCAGGCCCACCATGACGATCAATGTGGGACAATTGGTCACACAAACTGTAAGAGAGAAACACACAGATAGTCAGCATCTCTTCTTGCCATGGGATGGAAGCCTTGAGGTCACAGTCTGGAAGAGCCTTAGTCTCACACACCCAATGAAGGGCCTGGGGCTCAACAATCCCCAATGCACATCTGTCTGTGTAACACCCGGTGACCTTTGACACTGTCTTACATCTACATTCTGTCTTTCTATCCATAGTCTCCAGCACTGTCTTGTGCACATAGCATTCGTTAAAACCTTACTGAATTGAATGTATACCTGGTACAGAGAGACCCATCACACATTAGGGGCATGTTGCTGGACCAGGATGGAAGAAGTGAGGGATCTGACCAAGGGGAAAAGTGATGAAGGCACTGCCCTCAGAGACACTGTAGCACTCAGGCTCAGTCATATTCTAGGTTTCCTTTCTGATAGATAACAGATGGGAGGGAGTTCCACTGGGTCCTAACACAGAGAGGTCCCCCCAAACCATCAATAAATTAAACCAAAGGGGGAAAATAATAGAACATAATCCTGGAAGCCAAGGGTCCCTTGATCACCCAGATCCCATTTAGGGCAGATGGGGAGGAAGAGCTGTCAGTGGGGGTGCCTTTCCTCATCACTTTCCTCCAATTCTCCACAACTTGGCAACCCAGATCCCACCATCAGGTTAAGTGGGCTAGGAAGAGCAACACAGCTTCTCAAACCACCTGAATAAACTGAACATCACTAACCTGCCCCCCCCCAACGCCCTTGTTGATGCTGATGTTTGATGTTGCTATTGACATTGGATGAAGCATCAGGGTTGCCTCCCCCCAAGTCCCATTCAGTATGCCAAACAGAGAGTTGCTCCAGAAGCCTCACTTTTCTCTTACTTTTCATCATAAGCTCTTCAGTTCCCACTTACTAAGGTCTTTCTCCTGAGCCCTGAGACAGGGGAAATTCTTCCCTCTGGGCCTAAGAGACGGAAACTGGATACCCTCAAAGGACTCTCCTTTGCCACTATTGACTTTGAGGAAGCATCTTTTCCAAGAAAGTCCTTCCAGATAGTCCCAGCCTGGCTGAGCCAGACCCGGCCCAACAGACCTCCCCAGACTAGGCCAAGGTCTCTTCCTCCCCAAGAGAAGTATGGTAAAAAGCAAATAACCCTACCTGGACGCCTGGAAATTTAGGCATTAGTTTAGGCTTTATCTTTAACTCCCTAAGTACCTAGAGGTAAATCTCTTCCCTTCCCAGGACATCCTCAGGATTTTGGTGTTTGGTATTTTTGTTGTTGTTCTTTTTCTCCTTTTTGGTAACCTGCTTGGGCTAGATAAAACAATTTCTAAAGTCCATCAGGCTCTGATATGCTATGAACTCATAGAACCTGTTTGCTTCCCCTGTTTCCTGCCCAGTTACCTGGGCTGATTTCTGCCAAGAGCAAAAGTTGCTCCATCACATTTGGATTTGGGGGGTAGAGTGGGGACACTATGGGGGTCCCCTGGACAGCACTTGCTCCATCATGGGTCAGTGAGAAGCACCTGCTCCACCAGAGACAGAGCATAAACTATACTCGAGGCTTGCAAGAAAAAAAAAAAGCCATAACTGACTCAGGAGGAAGAAAAACAAGTTAAGCAATGAATTGCCTTCTGGGGCCAAACAGTGAAAGCCTTGAACTGGGGGGAGGGGATGAAGACTCTCTACTCTCTAAGCACAAAGACAGCATTTCAGACTCAGCTTTTCTGGAAGCGAAGAATGAACTACTCCACTCTTTCCTCAGCCCCCAACCACTGAATTAACTAACACACACACACACACACACACACACCCCCACATACACACACAGCCCCATCATTATCAACAGTGGACATTCACAGAGCACTTTTAAGATTTGTCAAGCATTTTTAATATGTTCTCTTATGTAATCCTCACAACAACATAATGAAGAGAAGACCAATTCCGACTTTGTTAAGCCTACCTGTGTGACTTTGGGCAAGTCACAACCTCTCTGAGTCAATTTCTTGATTTTACAATAATCAATTTTATAATTTTACAATAAGAGAGTTGGCCTCTATGACCTCTACAATCCTTTCTAGTTCTAAACTGATGAATAAGCACTAGAGGTACTATCTTGATTTTATCAATGAGGAAACTGATGATCAAAAAGATTAAGTGATACGGTAAGATAAAGTAGGACATTAACTCAATTCTCACCAGATTCCCAAGACCAGTGCTCTGTCCCCTATAATTTATGCCTCTTAAACCATGTTACTGGCACATAGTATTCAAAAACACATTCCCTTCCCAATCTGAACTACAAGCTAAATCATAGGGCTTACATCTAGAAAGCCTGCGTCACTCCAAGACAAGGAAACTCACCCAGAGAGGCTGTTATGCACATTCACACAATACAAGGCAAATATTTATTAAGCATTTTCTGTGCACAGAAGATTGTGCAGGGCACCAGATGAGATTTACAGCTTAAATAAGACAGTTCCTGTCATCATGGAGCTCAATGTCTGATAAGGGGGTATGACATCACAGGAACCTATAACATACAACATTACTGATGCACCTTATAGACTTGCAAAGCACAGCACTGTATGAGATCTAAGGGGGAGGAACATTATGGATGGGGATAGAAATGAGGAAAAGATTCCTAGTAGTGTGGCTCTTTTCAGCTGGGCCTTCAAAGGATGAATAAGAATAAAACAAATAAAAGGCAGGAGAGAGGGCATTTTAAGCATAAGGAACAATGTGAACAAAAGCATGAAAGTATATGAGAATATACAAGGGAAATTAGATGGGGGCAGCAAAGTCATCCAGTTTGGTTGGAGCATAGTATTAAGAGATTAGGCTAGAAACTAGGGTAGTGTCAGATTGGAAGACCCCAAATGTCAGATTAAGAATTTGGTCTTTACCAGGCCAAGTGATAGGGAACCATGTAAGTTTTTTTGAGCAAATGATTGACACGGCCAAATCTCTGCATAAAGAATGTTAGTCTGGCAGCATGTGAAAGATTAATGTGAGGGAGAAGAGTAGAGAAGTTAAGATGTGTTAGGAGGCTATTAGTAATACTTCTGGTAGATGGTAATGAGGACCTCTTCATTGTTCAGTTGTTGTTCAGTTGTATCTGCCCTTCTGTGACTCCATTTGGCTTTTTCTTGACAAAGATACTGGAGTGGTATGTGCTATAATTATCTCCATTTTAAGATGAGGAAACTGAGGCAAAAAGAGATGAAGTGAATTGCCCAGGGTCTCACAGCTAGTTAATGTCTGAAGCCAGACAACTCAGGTCTTCCTGATGCCAAGGCCAGTGCTCTATCTACTGTATCACCTACATGCCTATATCTGTACTACGGTGGTAGCAATGGGAATAAAGTTGAAGGAGAACTATAAAAGATGTTTCAGGGCTTGGGAACTGTCTGGTTATGAAAGGGGAGGGAGAGGGAAGAGTTACTGATAACACCATGCCCTTCAACTCCGGAAGCTGAGAAATGGCTTTCAGAGAAAAGGTGGGAAGCTAGGTTTGGGTTATGTTGAGTTTGAAGTGGCAGTATAAAGTATAACATTAAGGTGGAGATGTCCTGGATGCACCTGGAGATGTGGTTCTGGAGAGAATAGGATGTATGGTTTTAAGTCATTAGTCAACGAATAAGCCATAGGGCTTAATAGTATCGCCAAGGGAAAGAGTACAGAGAGAGGAGAAAAGAGGGCTAAGGACAGACTTTTGGGGAATATATACATTAAAGTGGTAAGTGCAAGAGATCTTAGAGGCCACAAGTCAACTTCCTTATTTTACAGATTATAAAAGCAAGGGACAGAGAGTTTAAGTGACTTGCCCAGGGTCACACAGCTAGTTAAGTATCTGAGGAAAGATCTGAACTCAGGTCTTCCTGATTCCAAGTCCAGCACTCTAGCCACTATTCCACCTAGCTACCAGCCAAGTGTGGTATCTCTGAAGCCAAGGAAGGAGAGAATAACCAATAGGAGTGGGTGGTCAACATTATGAAATACTGTTGAGAAGTCAAGAAGATGAAAGTTAAAAAAAAAAAAAAGGTCACTGGATTTGGGAATTAATACATCACTGGCAACGTTAGAGATAACATTTTTAGTAGCGGTAGGAGCCAAAGCCAAGTCTACAAGGGACTAGAGAGAGAATAGTCAGTATAGAAGCAAAAGAATCTGGGCAAGAAGACTTTTTTTTCTTAAGATTAGTAACAAGGTCAAGAACAGAGAGGAGAAGGTAGCTAAATGAGGGGGCTAGGAGGAGGACCATGCCATTACATCCTACTGCAGCCACTAGTCGCCTGTCTTAGCCTGCCTCCCCATGGATTCCTTGCTTTCTCTAGATCCCCAGTTTTCCAGCTACACACTGCTGCTGAAAGCCCAGGTGAGGTCAAATCAGCAAGGGAAGTGAGGATAAACAAACTCCCACCCTCCCCAACTGAGCAATTCTGTACACTTGATGTCATTATTCAAACCCCATTCTCTGTTCCCCCACTTCCTACTTCCTTATTCAAATTACCCTCAACCCCACCCCTCTAGCATCTCACTCTAAAGTTAACCATCCCTTGCACTATACTCTCTGGAATTCTTGCTCCATAAGTAACAAACTTGCTTTCACCTTAAAACTTTTTGTTTTCTGCTCCTTCTAACATCTTTCTTGTTTTATTTTAGTTTTTATTTTCAGTTCCAAATTCTCTTCCTTCCTCCATCTCCTCCCCAATCCATTCAGAAGGCAAGAAAACCCTCATCTGATCCATCCATATCTGCTAGCTATCAACCTCTATCTCTCTTCCCCATTGTAACTAAACTCTTGGAGAAGGCCATCTACAATCAATGCCTCTAAATGCTTTCTTCTCATTCTCTACTTAGCTGTTTGGAGTATGGTTTCTGACCTTATCATTCAAATAAAACTGCTCTCTCCAAAGTTATCAATGATCTCTTGTCAAATCTAATGATTTTTTCTCTATCTCCAGTCTTCTTGACCTCTCTACAACCTCTGACACTTGGTTACCTACCCTCTACTCTCCAG